TGATGCCTTTTTACAGTTTTCCTCTAATGATTTTGCCAAGAAGGGTTTGGGTAATGGTGATAAAATTGAAGATATAAAATTGTCAAATGAAGAGATGGAAATGTTCATAGATTTGCATCCTTTCACCAATGCAACACCGTACACCGTTGTAGAGACAATGTCTCTAGCAAAGGCCCTCATACTTTTCCGAGAAGTTGGACTAAGGCACCTGTTGGTTGTTCCCAAGGTTTCCGGGGTAAGAATTTTTGTCCCATCAACTTTCTTAATGGTTTATTGCTCTACCGGTGCATCTGAAGTATTTCACATGCTTGAGATGCCTTTCAGTTTTACTTGATTAGTGCATTATTATGATGACCCTTATTCTCCTTTTTTGTCTGTTGACACTCGATAGCCGTCATGTTTTTATAATGTTCCTCTATTCATGGTATGTTTGGCTAATCTTAAAAAATGTAAAAGTTAATTCTAATTAACATTTTTGTTTCCGAAAATGTTTGAATATGTAATTATTTTCTTACTTTTAAATTAAAAAAATACTTATTTTGAAATTTACTCTTACGTAACTACCTTACCATCAAATACTTATTTAAACTTACACAGATTAAAAACAGTATTCATTTTAGAACTTATTAACTTACAAGCAAACCTTTTAAACTTATCGAAACATGCTCCAAGTTTTCTTCTTTACCATGTGATCCTGAAAATACTACCGCTTCTCTCATTGAAGGAAGTTCCATTACAACTTCTTATGATGCTACACTTCTATGTGCACGAGTTTTAAGTTTTATCACAAGCACGCATAAGCATACGAAAATGCATGTGTATTTCCAGTGCTTCTCCATGGTCCTAGTTTTATTCAGATGGCGTTATTCTTTTTCCAGCACATTCCAGTTGTGGGTATATTGACGAGGCACGATTTCATGCCAGAACATATCCTGAATTTGAATCCTTCGTTGACACGAGGCCGGTGGAAAAGGTTAAGGTTCCGGTTTCCTCGTTTGGGCAGACTTATTAGAGAGTTATAGAAGAGCTGTGCCATTATGCTTGGGAGTTTTGTGAATAGCCTTGTCCGTACAGAGTTCCTAAATGACTTGACGATATATTCTTTTGCTTCTTCAACGCTGTAAAGGACCTTCGTAGGAATGCATCCATTTGCAGTCTGGTAAGTTAAAAACATGAATGAGGGAACAAGAAATTGTTCTCTAATATGAAATGCTGTTTTGTATCAACTTTTTGTAAACCAGTTGAGAATAAATTTAGAGCTTTCTATAAGAATTTCTACCACTGAGTAGATCCCTCAGGACTGAATACTTGAGCGGAATATACAAAATTAGCAACTGAATTACTCTTCAGACAATCTTAATCCTGTCTTCAAATAGCTTTCGACCCATTAGTATGCTTCCAGCATGTATTTTTCATTATACTGAACTCGATCCTTCATCTGTGATCCAGAGATTTAACCATTAAAAGCCCGTTATTATTCCATTAGGCTTCTTTTTTTCTTTTTCTTTTTTGGCACAATGTTTTCTTTGTATTGAACTGCGCAGTATATATTTTACATCTCTGTAACTATAAGCATATTGGAGTTATTTAATTGATTGGACTGCGATAGTGAGTGCGAGAGTCGAGACAACATTATGTACTTTAGTGTAGGTATTTAGAGTTATTTAGTTGATTGGATCTTGTTGGGCTAAAAAATGAAACAATAAAATGGGTAATGGGGCCAAAAATTAAAAAATTAAAAATGAAACAAATTATTGGGCCAAAAATTTGGATTTAGAAATTGTTAATTTGTTAGAAAAAATTAAAATTAAAATAATTTGATTTATTTAATATAAAAAAAATAGAAAGATTCGGTTCTTATTCGGTTCTTCGGATCTTGGTCTAGAATTGAGAATCGAACCGTATCCGTCGGTTCTCAATTCAGATACCCGTTCGAGTATTTAATTTGACAAGAATCGTCGGGTTCGGTTCGGTCGGTTCAATTCGAGAAATTTGCCCAGCCCTAACTGAATTACTCTTGAGACAATCTTAATCCTGTCTTCAAATAGCTTTCGACCCATTAGTATGCTTCCAGCATGTATTTTTCATTATATTGAACTCGATCCTTCATCTGCGATCCAGAGTTTTACCAATTAAAAGATCGAACTGCGCAGTATATATTTTACATCTCTGTAACTATAAGCATATTGGAGTTATTTAATTGATTGGACTGCGATAGTGAGTGCGAGAGTCGAGATAATATTATGTACTTTAGTGTAGGTATTTAGAGTTATTTAATTGATTGGATCTTGTTGGGCTAAAAAATGAAACAATAAAATGGGGCGATCCAGAGTTTTACCAATTAAAAGATCGAACTGCGCAGTATATATTTTACATCTCTGTAACTATAAGCATATTGGAGTTATTTAATTGATTGGACTGCGATAGTGAGTGCGAGAGTCGAGACAATATTATGTACTTTAATGTAGGTATTTAGAGTTATTTAGTTGATTTGATCTTGTTGGGCTAAAAAATGAAACAATAAAATGGGTAATGGGGCCAAAAATTAAAAAAATTAGAAATGAAACAAATTATTGGGTCAAAAATTTGGATTTAGAAATTGTTAATTTGTTTAGAAAAAATTAAAATTAAAATAATTTGATTTACTCAATATAAAAAAAATAGAAAGATTCGGTTCTTCGGTTCTTGGTCTAGAATCGAGAACCGAACCGTGCCCGTCGGTTCTCAATTCAGATACCCGTTCAGGTATTTAATTTGACAAGAACCGTCGGGTTCGGTTCAATTCGGTTCGGTTAGAGAGATTCGCCCAACCCTAACTGAATTACTCTTCAGACAATCTTAATCTTGTCTTCAAATAGCTTTCGACCCATTAGTATGCTTCCAGCATGTATTTTTCATTATACTGAACTCGATCCTTCATCTTCGATCCAGGGTTTTACCAATTAAAAGGCCGTTATTATTCCATTAGGCTTCCTTTTTCTTTTTCTTTTTTGGCACAATCGCAGTATATATTTTACATCTCTGTAAATATAAGCATATTGGAAATGCACCATAATAAGATTGAATTTCAGCTATTTTTGTACCATTACAATGATAAATTAGAATAGTCGACTTTCAACATCTTTTTGCTTGAGGTTATGAGTTTTGCTGTCCTGCAGATTTAGTTCGCTGTCATAGTAGCAATTTTTATGCTCAAAGTTCCATGGGCAGTTGGTTGAATATTGTTTGACTATGCTTAAAAAGAAGCAAAACCTTTTTTTTCATTTTTGGCACACATAATTGGAAATTTCCATTTGGACGGAATTCAAGTTCACAAAATTCTATTAGAACAGACACATGTATGATAAAAAAAAATGCCAAAAAATATCATCCGCCCATACCCACTATGAGTTGTCTAGAAAAATTGTGACTTTTTTTTTTCTGTAAGTGCAGCACAGCTCTACATACTTCTTGAAGTTTTTTTTTTTTTTTTTTTCCTTACTCACAATCTTGCTCCTTTTAGAAAGGAAACCTTACTTTCTTGAAAAGTGGCTTTAAGCTTAGCCAAATCTTAGGATGGAATTGATACTAATATACTTTCTCCTATAATGTTGACCGTTTTTATTTTCTTATCTCAATTATATAGTCTCATTTCTTTATTGAGAATATTTTATTTTATTCGTTTACTAATATATTTTTATTTAATTTGCCTAATTATAATATATTTTTTCCACCTAATATTGAAATTGTACAAATATAAATAAAGGTAGACTAGATGAGTTTTTGATAAAAATTCCTTTTTCAATAACATTAAATAAGATTTACTAATCCATGTAAACAATAAAACCAGCCTATATAAATGGGTAGAAAGAGTGAGATTTTAATTTTTTGTTTCTTTTGTTGTGAGAGCACGGTTAAGCTGATGCACTATAAAATAATAATGCCAATTTAAATTCATGAATAGGAGATCTGATTTTATCATGTCATTTCATATGATAATTATCTCTAATAAAGATAAATACATTAGTCTAACCTTAGGCCTTAGTGGCTGCCTAAGATAAATCTTTAATAAATGGTCTCTGAAGGTACATGATGATTGGATATTCATTCAATGCAAGACAAGGTACATTATTTTATGGGGTATTTTTAAGAATGTCCAATTTTAAATGTATAAGTTAAAAAGTGTCCTCGCATTTGAATTTAGTGCCAATTTATTTATTATGTTCTTAATGAAAAGCTACATTTTGAAATGGTATTCTCGACATTTGATTTTTTTATTAATTTGTCACAAATTTTGAGAAGTGACTTCCATGAGAAATTACATTAAAATAATATTTCTCGACATTTCATATGTCATTCTCAACATTTGAACACCATTTCATTTGTCTAGAATAACATTTCATTTTGAATATAACATTTCTCTACATTTAAAAATGTCGTTTTCGACATTTTTGAATCAATGAAAAATACAGCATTTATTGTGATTTAACATGTATATTTTTTTAAAATAAATATGGCAGGTTATGTGTTAAAATTTTATTGATCAATAACAATATTGCAAAAATATCAATTTTTTTGTCTTAGTGTGAAATTATAAATTGTTAATAAGAGTATTTTGATCTAAATTTTTCCAAATTAGACATTTTTGCAATAGTAGATATTTTTGCAAATGACTAGATAAAAATGAACATATTGTGAAATTTCCTCTTATTTTATTTAAAGACTTCAAAGGTTATAGGACGCTTAAATAGATTAATATAAACTTTATCCTTAACAAGGCCGTTATTTGTCAAGGATATAAATAAATAATGATATAGTTATTAATCCAATTAAAATTAAATTTTTTATCGTTATTTCACTATTTCAATCATTATTTTTGAATTTTTTTCTCACATATAGGACTCAATTTATCTATAACGATTAAAAATTCAATTATCAAAATCTCTACCAAACATGCACGCAGTTTGAGTTATGTCTATATTACGAATTATCTAGCACCAACGATCGGACTTTTTCGATCATATAAAATGAAAGTAATTTTGTTTAGTACAAAATCACTTAACGTGTTATTAGAAACATCTCACAGATTATTACACACTAAATATTATTCATACACCAAAGACCGTGAGCAGAAAAAGCACATTAATTAAAGGACATAATTTTCTCAGGAAAATTGATGACCGTCGACCGACACCACCAGAGACTGCCAGAAAACGACCGTCAAGACGGTGATTTAACAATGTTTGGAGCAGAAGCAGCGGCGGCGAAAGCCCCTGCAATAGCCGTCGGGAAATCCCTCAGTCTGGCAAACCGCCGCGCAGTTGCTTTTACTAACACAAGATCCCTTGAACCGGTGGCTTTGGGATTCACAAGTCCTTGCCTCTGCCACCATTAAAGGACCTAACAAAAATATTCAAGTCTCACAATATTTAATAAGTTATTCAGTAGTTAATGAAATTAGAATTTACAGTGTTAATCACTAACAAAAACATTGTTCAGTTGGTTCTCTTAATGTCCAAATTACAGCTGAATGAACATTGTTAAATTTTTTCTTCGTAAAAACTGCAAAAAAATTGATGTGATCTTTGGTTCATGTGTTCAAAAACTAGTTCACCCAAGTTGAACAGAAATTAAAATCCAAAGTCAAAGTCAACAATTAATCTTAACTACAGATTTTACTAACTTTTATCAAAATCAAAATTTACTAAAAATCTAATTTCAATCTCCACTACTGTATTGAAAAGGATAAATAAGTTAAAATCTTATTTATATATATACGAACCGGTGAGCATGACAAGCATGAGCATGAAGAACACAGCTGCATAGCGTCCCATCTTAGATGTAGAAAGTGAAAATGGAATGGGGTGGCATTTAAGGTCATAGTAGACAGGTATTTATAGGGAAATTTGCACCATGGGTTCTCCTAGTGACTATTAATTATATTATTAAAGTTTATTATTTTTAATAATATAATCAGTAATAATTAACGTAAAGTTTATATTATTAAAGTTTATTATTTTTGTAAATTTAACGTAATTGTTTATCATAAATTAATAATATAATCAATTATTTTTATCAATTTAACATAATATATAAAACACGTGAATAATTTAGTAATAAATTTATTTGTTAATTTAACGTAGTTATGATTTAATAATTTAAATAGTTATAAAATAAATAAATAATTTTTTAAAATAAATACATTGAGAAAAATCGAAAGAATGAATAAAATAATAAAACACTGTTTATTTGGTGTAAATTTTGGTGTAATGGTTGAAAAATAATTTTGATTTGGTGCAAAATTTAGTATAAAATGGTACAAATTTTGGTGTAGTGCTGAAAATGGTCTGACTTGTTCTTTTTTCAAAGGTCGGAAAAGTTAGGATGAAAAGTAGAATTGAAAAAAAAAAGTTGAACCCCAACCTTAAGGGCCCCTACCGACCCTGTCCTGGGCCATCGTGGAGGAGGTAAATCGCAAGATGTGCCTCCCAGGAGCCAGGGTGGAGAGCACATGGATAGGCCAAGGCGGTTAACCCATATGGTAACTCCCGCTTGCAACAAAGCCAATTCCACCTTGCGGAGAATCGAACTCTGCATACTGCCGCGCTGAGTCCTATCCGCCCTTCCTTTTGCCACTGGGAGATATGCCCTGGGGGACATGCCGTCACATGCGTCCATTGTATGATCCAAAAATTAAGAAAACGCCAAATGAGGTTACAAAAGGAGGAGGACAAATATATATGCTTTAGTGACGAACGAGTGTGCACCATCTCTGCTTTAGTACAGTATGGAGTTAAAAGAGTAGAATTGTGAGGGGCAAATTTCATGAAATTTTAATTGTGAGAGCAAAATTAAAAATTATAAGGAATTTTATTTTGAAAATCTTATGTAAAATCTTGGATTTCAATTTTAGTGTGGAGGCAGTGAATCCCACCGTCCCCTTTGTGGATCAGCCCATGCTTTAGTAGATATATCAGCGATAAAAAGTGTGAATACACATCAAATTAAAAGCTCAAATTAAAAGCTCGAGCAAATTGAAAATCTTGTATTTACCATACTTTTAAAAAGTAACTTATTTTGACAACAAAAAAAATAAATTTATTTATGAGCAACTCACTTTATGAAGCTAGAGATTAGAAGAATGGAAAACGTGGAGGATGGAGCTTTGCTGTCTACAGCTGGGAGGTCAAAAAAGCATGGAGGATAGATTTTAGAGTTAAGGCAAGGCATGCACAAATGCAGAGATATTGAGTAGTCAGCATTTTCATGTCAGAATACTGCTACCCTCTTCTCTCTCTCAATCGAACAATGTAATTTTTTTCAAAATTGGCTAGTAAATTAACTCCAAAAAATCAAGGATCATAGGTCAAAATTTCAATATAAACCAACCAGTTTTGAAGCCAAACCGTATTATTTTGAGAAATTTCTAAATTTCTAATTTTCGACCTTGATTTTTTTTTTTTTTTTTTGAGAGCATATTTAAGCATTAAGTACGATTGAACTAGTCGACATGGGCCGGACTTGTGGGCCCGGCCTCACATGCATGACAGTTCGTACACTCCTGCTCCTACCTTAAGCAATGAGCAGTGTCCACAAAGAAAGAATCCAATGCCAAGAGAGATATTTCCAAAATGACAAATGTACCGTGGAAGAGTTAATAGATAATTCTGGAAATTGTTTATTTTTCTGTCTGTCCAACAATTAAAGAAATTTATATGAAGGAAAATTGTTATCTAATATAGAAACTTATAGGGTTGTGCATGTGGACGCCCTTATGTACGTAAATTATATACACCAAGGCTTTTCCAAACTTATATGGTTATTATCCAACGAACAATCTCAAAGAGCAGAATCAGAAAACTTAGGAAAAGGAAAAAGGAAACACCGTTTTGGACACCTTTCATATGCTGAATTGTATAAGTTGCAACTCATAAATTTCGTCATGCCTATCTCAATACTGTACTGTAGTGCCCAGCCCAGCCCAGTCTAAGTGTAAAAAGGTCCACACAAAATGCCTTCAGTCCATTGTTAATGAAATAATTCTGCACAATTCCAGTTTAGCATAGGGAAAATGCAGCGGTTTAAACAAATAGTGTTACTAATGCCAAGCAAGCTAAACAATAGACTACTGCTGAATCACTGATAATCTCCTCTTTTTGAAAGAATTTCTTATGAAAGCTCGCACCTATCCTCGTCCCCCAATTAGATAAGCATCCCAAAGGATTCAAGAAATGGAAGTGAAAGAAGACGACAACATGAATACAATTACAAAAAACTTAATTCTTCGATTTAAATTGTTAGCAGCGACTGATATATCTATGTGTATATATATATGGGATGATGTATTCTAACACATCTGTCCTTTGTTCATCAAGAATAATGATTGAAAGGAAAAACCATGACAACACCAAACAAACTTTGTCTACAACACTCACCTGTCAATCTCTCCTTCCGCTTTTCAAGTAGTCCATTCTAATTCCCCAGAGCTGCTCTCCGACTGATTTCATGTCTGGACGATCAGTTCGTGTAGGTGCTACACATTGGATGGCCAAACCAAACATTTTCGCTAGCGTTTCTTCATCTACTGCTTCCTTCATTAAAGGGTCTAACATTTCCAAAAATTTGCCCTCATTATACTTCCTGAAAGCCTACATAAACATTGTGTATGATGAGTTCTGCAAATCTTTTCTTTATCCAAACATTAAATCTTAAATCAGCCATTCGTTCCCTGTAAGCTGGTTTCAAAGACTCTTAGTTCCGGGAACTATGGATGCATACTGGTACATTTTATCTTTGGGGAGACTGTCTTGGTTGTGGTTTAATTAGTACATTAAAGAAAAGATGTCTAAATGAAAATGTGAAAACGACAGGGTGGGATGGGTGTGGAGGAACTTCTTGGAAAAATTAACTTTGTGAAAAGATTAAAATTGCAGGAATTCAGCTTAAGGGGATTTAAAAAAAAAAAAAAAAAAAACACCATGACTTTGCAACAATGAATCCCTAAGCGAGCAGGCCGTCAGTTCATTAACTACAGATTTAATTGCATTTATAGCGTCATACTCTTTTTGAAAATACAAGATCTTTGATTATTTCTATTCGGTTGTCCCTCTTTTTCTGCTTTCTCAAATGATAGTAAGAAATAGTTTATATATAAGTAACAAGCATCCTAATTAATGAAGTCAAGTATCAAAATAGAAACATTATGAATTCTCGTTAGTTTAGGCTCTCCTTGAAACACAGGTATTACATAATGATTAATGACTAAAGCGAGTAACCTTGTCTAAGTATAAAATCTTACCCATTTAATTGTCACCCTGTCATTGAGTGGTCCCTTCAAATCCACAGGTCGACGACCGGTTAAAATTTCTATTAACAATACCCCAAATGAGAATACATCGCTCTTGGATGTGAGTTGATATGTCCTCATATACTCCGGATCAAGGTAACCAACTGTGCCCTTTACTTGGGTTGAAACATATGTTTTCTCAGAGTCCATCTCTCCTAGCCTCGCAAACCCAAAATCTGCAACTTTGGCTCTCATGCGCTCAGTCAAAAGAACATTGGAGGACTTAACATCTCTATGGATAATTTGCTTCCCTACATAGGATCCAAGGAGAATAGGGATATTCCACCAGAAAATCAAAAATAAGGACAAGCACATTAAAATAGGCTAAATTTGCATAAAGATTTTAATAAGACAATAGTGTGAACCAGTAATTACAAGGGGATTTTAAGCATGGTTTTTTAACGTGTTTGGTTAAGCTTAAAAATTTACATATAAGTAAACAAGTAAGTTCTAAAATAAATAATATTTTATTGATTAAAGTTGAAAATAAGTTACTTAATTTGACAATAATGTAATAGCTACTGCAAAAGAACAACATATTTTATTTGAAAGTAAGAAAAAGTAATTTATCCAAACATGTTCACAGACAAACTTCCAAACATGCTCGTGTCTAGATAATTTAGTAATGCACATCATCGAAAATCAGGGAGTACATTTGTAATTCAAAGCAGCTCTTTCAGGATCACAATCTTAAATCGTAATTGTAGTTTTCTTGGTAAAAGCATGGTATTGATGCAATAAAGCATCAGTAGTTTCAGTTTCATGACAGTAGTTGTTTTTCGTTCCATGCAATAAAGCATAAGTAGTTGTTTTTCTTTCCATATCTCTTTGTGGAAAAAAAAAATTACAAAAGCAAATCAACTCTGCAGAAAGAGCTATCACCTGCATACAGATGGAGATAGGTTAGGCCATGAGCAACATCAATGGATATTTCAAGTCTCTGATAGAAATCCAGTATCTTTCCCTTCCTTCCTACAGAGGAAATCAACCAAAATAGCAATTATACTTGCCTGATTAGAATATTTGTGATGTCTCAAGAGTTTAAGAGGTTTACCATCTAGATGTTCTCTAAGTGTACCATTTGGCACATACTCTGTAATAATCAGGCGCTCATCTCCTTGATCAACATAACCAAGCAGCTTGACTAGATTCCGATGATCAATTTTAGCCAGAAGTTCAACTTCACTCTTAAATTCAGTCCGCAGCCCTTCAAAGTGTTCCTTCTTTTTTTCCCCAAAAATTAAAAATCAATTACAGAATTAAATGTCGGAAAAGGCCAACTAAGAAACTGTCCTAATTCATATCTCTATAAAAGAAACTTGTCTACCCCGGTTCCACTTTGATTTTATTCGCAATTTCACTTTATAATTTCATTTTATCTTTAGTTTTGACACACCTTCAATTCCTTTAACTTGGGTGGTGACTTCCAAATTTTTGACATTTATAATTTTTAGCTAGTCCCAAAGCTCGGGTAAAAGAAGAGAGCTGCAGTAGGTAGACCACCAGTATTAAACTTCGTTAAGCCTTGCGACATGATTACTTTAGCCTAAATGCTTGAATGAATTCAAACCCTAAAAGTCAGTTCCCATTCTTCCTTCTCTATGCCAGGGGTGGGCTACGACATACATCTCTTTTAGCTTGGAATTATGGTCAAAATATCTACAATAATACATATAAAACCTAAAAGGTTAAGGGCATTTAAGTTTTTGGCATCACTTTTCTCACTTTCTTTATTAGTATATAAATCAAAGTAACTTGATTCCTAAGGTTAATCATTGAGCAATAATATTGGCACATCATGCTTTTGGAAAAAAATGTCGCGAGCAATTATTAGCCCACCAAAGCTATCAGAAGCTGCAAACTCAAAGTCTAGTAAAAAAATCAGAAATATACCTTTTTGGCCCGTTTAATGGCAACGACCTGGCCGTCTGGTAGCTCGGCCTTGTAGACAGCTCCAAAACCCCCTTTACCTATTATTTGTGATTGTGAGAAATTATGTGTTGCTCTGGCAACTTGGCTCATAGAAAGATGAACAGATCCACCCCTATTAAGTTTTGGAGACATGGAAAACCTTGAAGGACTAGGCAGAACTCGTAGTGGACTGGCAGGAATCTTCTCAGAAACAGAGCTCATTTCTAAAGATGAAACTGAGTTCACTGCAAGAATAGTGCAATATTGGATAAAAGTATGCTCATAAAACTAGCTGCACTAAATGTGTGAGCTGAAATTACTATTTTTTTTGTATTGATTATGCATAGCTATGCCCAAGGACTTTCATTATTAGAATATATCTATATCATAAATATAAGAAAATTGACTTCATCTCAGAAGTACATGGGTCTACTTCAGCTGATCCACTACTGCCTTTACTCTAGCTTTCATTGAAGGCATCTATTTCCAGAGTGATAACATTCTGGATAACAGAAGGTGGCTTATGAATGGAAATGATGTTACTCACTAGAATTCGGCTCCTTGGACAGAACAGTACGCTCAAGTCCCCTTTTTCTTGCTTGAAAGCATGGGCAAAGCAAGGCGCAACATAAAATAAAGAAGGCTGGTACAGCCACAGCCAAAATTTTGGGGCTTAATATTGGGTTGTTAGCATATTCATCCCCTTTCAATGGAGATGCTTTATCAAAATCGTGCTTTTTAGATCCTTCTCGAACCACACTTTGTAAAAGTTTTCTTCCCACCTCTAAATGCAACTCTTCTGCATTATACAAGAAAATTCAATACTTCATTAGTAAACCATCTGGGAAAAATTCTTATATATGCAATCTAAATGTTCACTAAGTAGTGAAATATTTTACGGTGGGCATCTCATAAAGATATGTCTTGAACAGAAAGCAAAAGGTTCATAAAAAAATTGTTTGATGGGACACACCTAATGAAATTTCCAATCCACAATACTGATTTCTGGTATTTCTTGTGACGAAGCAATGGTTCGCTTGATATATTCTGAGAGCCTCGCAGAAGAAATATTTGTCAACCAACTTTCCATCTATATAGAACAATTCCTGACCAGGATTACCCAAGTAGCTAATATGGAAAGTTCCACATCCTTTCCTATGTTGCAACATCCCCGATGCAGATATTCTCGGCGATTGCATCATCAATAGTAGACTTAATAAAATAAAAGCCATTTTCAGTGAAGTGCAGCAAAAATATTGCATCTTTCAAGGACAAAACATAATGGAGTCATCCTCAACTACGAAGCACAACGCAACTCATACACTACCCAGATGGTTGAGTCAAAGAAATGTAGTTTGAGCCTAATTTATCCTAGAATAATTCGATATGCTCATTTGAGGTTCAATAGTGCTTTAGATGAAGCGACATCAATCTCCACAACCGCCTGTTAAGTCAAAATCAAGAAATTCTTCAGAAAACTAAGCTCCAAAATAACATAGAAAATGTATGAAATAGGCACTTCAACATTCCGTTGTAATTCAAAAAGTTCTAAAATTTTCTTATTTATAAAGCCCAAGATGCTGCTTCAAGACAGAGAATATAATAATTCATGAAAGAGATTATCATATTCCCACAATTCACTTAGATGCGAAATCTAGAAAGCCCCCTTTCGTGGTTGTGGAAAAGGCCTTTTTGTTTGAATTCTTTCATTTTAAGGATTTGGTTGATGCTAGCGCAGTCAAAAGAATGGGTCGAGTGGGAATTAGAAGAACACGACCTATCAATTTTCTTCTTCCAACTTCACAAAACACACATATAACTCCAACCCAAATAAAAAATTACTAGTAACTTAACTTCCCAACTTTCAGATTAAGCCTGTATCACAGTTCAAATGCTAACAACAAACTCAAAATTCATTCCTAGTATGTATTGTCAATTCTGTTAATATAAGTGGTGGGAGAAGGGATCAACTAATACCAGTCAAGATTTATTAAAATCAGATAATCAAAACCAGCTTAATGACATTTGATGATACACAGATGGGAGAATCTAAAATTTGCATATTTAAATTACTGTAAATATACGTATATCGATTGCTACAACAATGCAAAAGAAGAATCGGAGGAAGTTTACGGAGAGTTGGATGATTTGCAGAACGATGGGCTGATAAAAAAATTTATTCGCGTTTTTAGCCTCATTCAACGCATGAAAATTGTTGACAAGTGGAGAAGTTGCATTGTCATTTTCTTGGTCTTCAATTTCGGGCCAGGAATCAGATTTTTGGAATAGAAAAATGGTGTCGATATGAGGCAAGAGATTATGGTGGAAGATGCTTTAAATCTCATTTTCAATCAAGAATAGTGCTCGTGGTCAATAACGGTGGCAATGCAGACGGTCGTTTATTTTTATTTTTTTTTTGGTCATTGGATTGGTTTTTTTTTTTTTCGACTGATTAAACATGACATTGAGATTGTCATTATAACAAGATGGACCGTGCTAAATTCACACAATCATTTACACAACGGTTTACACACTCGACACTTGACAGCTCCCAAATTGTTCAATTAAATAATTTTGTACAGATATTTTAAAATTTTTCTTATTGTATAATCACATATTCCCCAAAATTTAACAATTACAAAATTTATTTTTCCCAAAAAATAAGCTCAAACACACCCTTAGCCCCATAATATCACATTATTTTTTTTACAGTATTCATTTTCAATCACATTTTTTATTAAAATAATATTACACACAAATAAAAAAAATTTCCTTTTTTTTAACCACACATTTTCAATCAATCAACTATTCTATAATACATTTTTAAAAATTAAAGGTGCTCAAACACACCCTTAATTTAACTTTTGCAATTTCTAATGCCTAATTTGTTATTATTTTCTTTTTATTCAGTGCAAATCCTTTGTAATATATCTACTCGTTAACTTCGTGAATCATGTTTCCAAATATTTACTTAATTTTCTATCATGTATTGAACGGTCATTAAACTTTAAAATATAACTTCACAACCATTTCACCTTTAAAGTAATTTCTTAGAACACAGTTTTAAAAGAGTAATGATATTCATAGTCGTTTAATGTGGTAGTCGCCCTACGTGACGTCCTACATGACAATTTATGATTTGATATATTAATATGATAGTTTTTTTCTTGCCTCATATATATCAAATCATCAACCGCTACATGTATGTCACGTAAGATAACTGCGATAACGAGCTACTATAAATAGCATCATTCTTTTTAAAATTTTATAAAGGTTCATACAATGGTTAATGACTAATTGGAAGGCTTTGAGAATCTATACAATGACAGTATTCTAAAAAATGCAAAGTATAATTAGGCATTGAGGTCAAGTTTCAAGGTAGGCCAGTCTAGGTGAGGCCTTTGTATGAAAAAATAATTTTTTAATTATAATATTATTTAACAATTTTAGTCATTCTAAAAATGATTTTGTAATTAAAATAATAAATATCAATCATCTAAAATTATAAAATACTATATTTATTTGATAATTCCTATAATTAGTTAATTATATAATTTTCAAAGGAAAAACTTGAGACTAATCGAGTAAAAGGCTTTTCAAAAAAGAAAAAAGATTTTTTTTTAAAAAAAAATTAATAAAGTGCTCCTAGACGCACATTAAGCTATAAACACTCAATTTCATGTTTACTGTCAAGGCGAGACGTTTCATTCACATCTCAAATCTGGGTGACACACGCCTCAAGTTTAGATGACATGTCATCTAAGTGTGCTTCTTAGAACACTACACGATGAACATCATTATAGAATATCTAATTTCTTGCTATGTAATCAATAAATGGTTGATTAAGCCCCAACACTGCAGCGACAAAGGTAAACTGGGCTGAAGCCAGTTATTTCTGGGACTGATTTTAAACTTAGGATATTATTTTCTGGCCCAAGCCTTTCATCGATTTTGTTCCTGGACCATGTGTTTCAAAGCCCACGAACTACAGTGCACTGCTTTAGCCCATCAGAACAACACAAGGATTTTTACCCATCCTATATCACCACAGCCATAATAAAAAGGAAAAATAAAAAATAAAAAATAAAAAAATTCATACATAAGATTTTAATTATAACTCATTTCAAAATTAAGATAAACGGTTTGAAATTTCAAAAATCAAATATTTATTAAATTTTATTTTTCAAGTAATTAATTATAAATATATTTAATAAATTCAATATAAGGTCACAATTCTATACAATTTGATGACAAATAATTGAAGTTACAAATAATTTCTTGGTCACAGTTAAAATTTGATAGATCACAAATTTATCAAATTATCAGGTCACATATCATTCTTTGGTCACAAAATCACAAATTTTATAAATCACAACTTATTTTACGGTGAAAAAATATCAAATTAATTGCCAAAAATTATGTTTAGTCACTAAGTATCAAATCATTGGTCACAAACAAATAAGTTTTTAGGTCATACATTATTTATTTATTACAATTTATCTATTTTATTCGTCACATATTAACCAATTTATGGGCCACAAACAATCAAATCATTTTTGAATACCTCCGTTACTTGTGACCACCATCTTACCACTGCCACTAGTTGCATCGTCGTTGAAACCACCATTGCTAGAATCACCACCACCTCTCGGCAACAAAACTATCATCTCAAACATCGCAACCAAACACCACCACCACCACCACCACAACCCCATAAAAAAAATTTCCAAATCTGCTGCAGGGGAACTACTACCATCGCCTGTATCAACAATGACCATCACCACTGCATCAACCATACACAACACCACCACATTAATGCCACCGCTACCTCACAATCTGAAACAGAAAAAAAAAAAAACAAAAAAACAAAACACCATTGAGCAAGTGGCACTATGAACACCGCTTGACGTTCAGATTAGAGCTGCACAATGCCGATCTGAATGTGCCGCTACATACGACGCTCAAATCAGTGCCGCACAATGATGTGACTTCTTTGTGCTTGGCGGCAGGAGAGTGGCGACATGGCATGCGGCCAAGAGAAAGACAAAAGAGCAGTGGCTGCGTGACACGCGAATAAAAGAAAGACAGGAGATGAAGATGACAGAGCAGCTTCATAACAAAATGCACGGTTGCACAACAGCACTAGGAGATTGTCTCTTGCAACATCGATCCATGTGAGGGAAAAAGAGAGAGAATGGAGAGATATAAAGAGAGAAATGAGAGTGTGAAGTAATTAGGGTTTATGATTAAATTTGGTGGGGTAAGGTGTGGGTGGATGGAGTTAGGTTCGGTACGTAAATTAATTTAATTTTGTAATATTATTATTAATATTGGATCAATATCTGATTTTTGAGTGAATTTTTCACTAATAAAAAGATTGAAAGAGGAAAAGGTTAAGGCCCAATTCTGAAAATTGAAAGATTTTTTTTTTTCCTTTTTCCTTCAAACAAGTCCTCCTACTCTTATTTTGACTCCTGATCAACACTAACCCATAGAACAAAATGTTGACCGTAGTTTGGATAATTTGACTTCTTTTAGACTTCGGCCTAGGGCGTTAGCTTCCATTGCTGCTGCTCATTATTGTCCATTCAAATTCCAAAGGATTAGTGTTTTTCATGTTATCTCAAATTTACCTTCATTAATTTGACGATTAACCTACTAAATATATGATGTTTAATTTGACGGGACATCAAATCTCAACTCATCTCAAAAATGCTCTTACGGAAGAAAAGATTCTCAAATCAAGTTCAACCCCTTTCAGCACACTTCTTTTAAAGGTTTAGTTGGATAGATGGTCTCAATTATTTCTGCATTAAAGAGCTTACGAGACCCGCCACTCTTAAAAGTTGATGCCACCGAATTCATGCGTCTTTGTCAGGCGCCCAGAAGCATGATCCAGACAATGAGTCCCATCTTCCTACGGTTCTTCAAGAGATGGCTTTTTTGTGAATGTGTAGTCGTTAAATTTTGTCAATAGTAATTTTAAATGTCACACTATATTTGATGTCAATTATGCAAAATATTAATACATTTTCTGAATTTTTCATATAAAACAACGAGTATTTTTCTCAATAAAATTGCAATTGACCATATGAATTCTTTTTCGTTACTCGAGTTGGTTGGTAGACCGTAGACCTATTGGCCATCTTTAACGACTCACATTAATTTTATTATGTAGTTTTCAAGTAGAGACGTGCTGGACGTTCAGGCGCCTATTTGGCGCCCCCCTATTGGGGGGTCGCTTGTCACTGTCAGACGACCCCCCAATAGGGGGCGCCAAATAGGCCCCTGGACGTCCAGTTTTATTCTTTCTAGTAATCATAATAGGGAATTAAGGTTTCGTTTGTCAACCATTTTATAACATTATTTTTTCATCAGCACTCATTTTTAATTACACATTTTTATTAAAATAATATAAAAGAGAAATAAAATTTTTTCCTCTTTTTTAATCACACATTTCAACATCAATCACTATTCCATAATGTTGAAAAATAATAGCAAATAATAGTGTTACCGTAATTTATATTTGGACAGAGTAACGAAGTTTGGATGGTTTTGAACGGTCGAGGCAAGAGTTCGACTTTTTTTTCCTTAAAACGATAATGCCCCGCACTGGTACTAACGGTATTGCAGCACTCGTTTCCCAAGATACAACGACCTCGTCTTGTAATAATAGTACTCCAAATTACAAGACCCGACGAACTCGTAAAATTTAGATCTCTTCACACACACTGGATGAGTGAAATGCACGAAAAGTAATTTTCAAAGACTGAATTATAAGAACAGAAATTATGCAGGGACAAAGGGATAATTTCGGGAGAGTAGAAAATCAATTCTGATTTTTGGAATGAATAAAAATCGGGGTATGGAGGCCTATTTATAGATGTTGAAAGGTTGTGTCCCAACAGACACAACTGTCGAAAAGTTGTGTCCAAAAGACACAAACGGTTTGGACAGTCAACCGCCACAACCCGTTAAATTCTAGAAGCACCGTACCACGTGTCACACATAGAAAATTCGGGGAAGAAAAAAAATTAATAACATAAAATATATTATTATTATAATAATAAAATAATATAATTAAATGTTATTTTACCAAAAAATATATATCAGCTTGGTCCAAGCCCACGATCCATGACTCGTGACTGTAATCGTGACCGTGCCGTGCCGTGCCGAGTCGAGTCTGCCGGTCGGACGGACGGCGGCGGTGGCGGCGCGTGTGGGCTTTGGCTTAACGTACTAGCATGTAGGTTCTCTCCCCCTCAAAAACTATTGATACCCCTTGGGGTCCAAACCCAAGTCCCAAACTTGAGTTATATAA